TTCACTAGTATCAAGCTAGAGCATAAATATTTGCTTCTCTGGCCTGTATTCCGTTTTCAAAGGAACGTAGAGCTGGGAATAGGAATGTGCTGCAAGAGTCTTAGTTCTTTTCAGTTCATAACTTAAAACATCTTCAGGCCCTATGCTGCTTCAAGGAGTCTATGCAGGGTTCCCCCCCAGTGAGCCTCTCACCAGCCCGTCTCTAAGGCCACATTCAGGGCAGCTATTAGATGCCTGTTAATCTGATCTTTCTTCCTGTGCCTTACTTACAAAGAGCCCAAAATGGTATAAACCAGCCTGTTACAAAGAGCCCAAAATGGTATTAACCAGCCTGTTAATAGTGACTTCTATACTCAATTAAATGAACTTGCTAAAATTTAGGGCAAAACTAAACAGTGAGGGAGGCTGGCAGGTGGTGTGGTGGTTAAAGCGCTGGACTCCCACGTGGTTGACCACAGTCTGAGTCCTGGACCTGGTGGCTTACTTTCTCACTTTACCTCTCTGTCTCTCTCTCTCTCTTTGTCTCTGTCTCTTCAAATTAAAATAATAATAATTAATTAATTTTTAAAAAACTAAACAGTGAGTCCCAATGGGAGTGGGTTGCCATGAGTGTGGCAGGAAGAAGGTATTGATTGTGGATGACAGTGAATACGGGTGATGGACAGGAGACTGCCAGCTGGGAATCTTGGGGACACTGGGATCTGCATGTGTATGAGAGAAAGTGCAGGCACAGGCACAGAGCTGGCAGAAATGAGAAACCAGCAAAGAGGAATTACCCAGTTCAGAGTAGCAGAACTAGTCTCATTAAAACTTTAACATTTATTTCCTTGCCTTGGTTGAATCAGGAGAATCTATCATCTGTTCAGAGCATATCAGAACTAGTGCCTCCTACCCCCACATTGGGTGAAGTCTTAGCAAGTTTCAGGGTGCTCTTTTTAATCCTTGTCTTGGTATGTGCTGATCCCTTGGCTAGAATGCCCTTCCTTGCTTCCTGTTGTTTATTCAGCAGACTAACTTACCCTTGACGTTTTATTTTGGGTATTGGCACCCTTGGGAACCCTTCCCTTTCTGCACACTCCCTCAGCCAGTCATACTGGATGTAGACTGCATCTTTCTTTTCTTTCCTACCTACTAAGAACTCTTAGAAGACAGGAAGAGCTTTTCTTTATTTGGGCCTGGCAGTCTGAGTGTTGACCGAAAACCACGGAAGAGGATTATTAGGTGACGTCAAAGGCTTTTCCCCAAGATAAGTAATAGAATTTCCCCACAGTTAGACAGGGTTGGGATGAAGTACCTCTTGTTATTTCGGGACAGTGGTCTTTTGACACTGTACAGATTTATATTTGGATGGAAACAGAATTGCAAGGACCCATCAGGCAGTAGTGCAGCTCTAATACCACTGGACCCACGTGGGGAAGGTCCTGGGTTCATGACCATACTGAGCATAGCCAGCCAAGAATGGGGCAGATTATGGCCTAAGGACCCTGTTGGTGCCCCTCTCTCTATCCCCCTCTCTCTCAGTAAATCAACTTTGAAAATAAAGAGGATAGTGTGGAAAGGACTGGGAGGCACCTTGGCCTCCTGGCCAAGGTCCTGGTGGGTTGTTCCTATTGGAAGTGTACCTGCTGTGCTCAGGAGATTCTTGACTTTGGGTGAATGTTCTGGAACAATCAAAATGCTTTGAAAATGACTCTTGAATGCTTATTTCCTTTTGTAGTAATGGGCAGAGGCCTTTGCGACAATTAACATCCAGCTCTTAGGAGCCAGACTCTCCGGAAAGGCTGATGTTTTCATAGGTTTTCAATGTGGGGAGCTTACGCATACTGATTCCTATCACAAATGCTGTGCCTTCCTGGAGAGTGATAAGAAATAGCTCATTATGTAGATGGCTTGTTTTGATTTTTGTAGCCTTTTGCTTTTACAGTACTAAATTGCAGAGTAGTGAGAGTGAACTAGGCAACCTGGCTTAGATGCATAAACAGAGACAATGCTTCTCCTTCTCCATGGAAAAGAATGGGCATGTTTGCTGGCTTGAGGAAGGGCTCTTGGGGGCCTGAGACTGAGCAACCAGTTCCTTGGCCAGTGAGCAAGCTGGGCCCCTGCACCCTGAGCCATGGGCTTTGTTTCCCTGGAAGAAGATGGGACAGGAGTTCTTTTGTTTACGGAGTACCAGTTACTTGAGCTTTTTTGTTCCTTAACTCAGTTTGAGGCTAATGCCCTTTCCAGGTACACCAGACCAAGGGGAAAACAGAAACAAACAAAAAAGATTTCCTCAGAAATTCAAGGACTAGACTGAGAGCAGACAGTCTCCATTTCAGTCTCAGGGCATGTCTGGCAGCCCATCATGGCTCCCTCATATACTCCAGCTTTTAAGTAGGTGTGGTCTTACCTGCAGGGAAGTGCTCTGAGCCACAGATCTTATCTCAGCCTTGGTTCTTTCCGAGGGAGGAACCAGCCAGGTTATTTTTACTTGTCACATTTGGCCTTACAGCAACAGTTGCTTACTTGGTTTGCTCTGGTTCTAATTAAAATGGGGAAACTCCTAGCTGCACTCCCATTGGCATGCGTGGGAAGGGACCCAGGGTGCACCTGTGGGAGATAGGGAGGGTGCACAGGACACCTGCCCTTCTGCTGTTCAAGGGGTATTTTGCACGTGGAGGCTCCTGGGCAGATGACTTGCTCCTGAGGGACTGAATTCTGTTCTTCAGCAACATCTCATCTTGGTACATCAAACTAGAGAGAAAATTCACCACTTTACTCTCCACACTGGATCTCCTCTGTTCTTTGATACCTAAGTGGTGTTTTGGGTCCTGGGCTCTTGAGAGTCCATGGATGGATGCTGTCTAAAACTGCCCAGCCAGGCAAGTAGATTAGTGAAAAACCTGGCTCTAGCATTCAAGAGTTGAGGAGTCAGCAAGCAAAGGAAAATAATTATTGAAGCAGTGAAAATAATTATTGCCCCTGACTGGGCAATAACTCCTTTCCCCAAAGGCCAGGCCCCCATGTGTATTGTTAAGTGATTGCTTGAGACATTGAAGGTCAGGTGGCAGCTACTTTTTCAGAGTTCCAAATAAATGACATCCTAGAAAGATGCAGCTTCCCAGAGGAGCTCCTTCCTCTCCCTGCCCCAGTGGGCAGCATGTCTCTCTTCCTGCCTATGAATCAGCACAAGCATATCTCCCCAGCCCATAATCTTTGCAAGGATGTTATTTATTCATTGTTGAACAGACAGAATCAGTTTTGACATCTTAACCAAAAACCCCATACATCACTACATTAAGTAGCTATATCTTACTTCATCAACCTGAGGCTTATGAGTTATGGGAACACCAACTCAACTTCTATATCTACTTTCTGCCCTAGCTCTGTATTCTTCCAACCTCAGGCTATTTCTGCTTCTCAGTAGAGAGGCAGGACCACACATGGACACAAGTGTGTGTGTGGCCTCAGGCAATGGGCTTCACTACTCTAGCCCCAACTTCCTAGCCATGAAGAGTCATAATAAGCACCTAATAAATAGAAACTATTTTTGCTTTTTTGAGAGGTTTTGCTATTGTGCGTGTGCGCTCGCCAGACAGAGAGACAGAAAGCAAGAAATCACCCCCTGGAGGGATGGTCACGCAGCAATCCTTTCTCCTCTATTCTCCTCTTGGGATCTTGGGCACGCACGCACACGCGCTCGGCATGAGTTTAAGCCACCGGGTCCGGGACTCGAACCGTGGTTGACTGCATGGGAGTCCAGCAACATAGCCATTACACCAACTGCTGGTCCCAAATAGAAACTATTTTTAAATCCAGTTATCATTAAAGGCTTTCTTCATGGAGGCAGATGCTTGAGGTTCTGGTTTGGACAGTTGGACCTTATTATAGTAGCTAAGGATACAACAGGTCACGCGTATTGTGACTATACACAGTGTAATTATTAATAGTGTTTCTTTCACTCTTAATGATGTCCCAGTTACGACAGTAGAGTATCTGGTCACCATTATGCATGAGTAGACTGGGAAGGAACATGGTTATCTTCTAGATGCTGAAGGTAGCAAAAAAATTAAAAGGGAAAGAAAAGCAAGTGTCACGCTACTCAGGCTAGGAGCTGGTTAAAGTGGAATGGAATGCCAGCTGGGGCATGGTTAAAGTGCCTGGATCCTACATGGCCAACCGCATGGTTTGAGTCCAGGACACGTAGCTTGAGAAACACACATGTTCCATTGAAGGTAACTTCTTTTTTTCCTTCCCTCTTTCTCTTTCTCTCTCTCTCTGCAGTAAGTGCACATCTTAGGCAAAATAAAAATAAAGTAGGATGGAATCTTGAATAAGCACATCTCTCTAGATAAGGAGATAAAAAATAGAACCATCTCCCGTTCTCCACATAGCGTGCATGGCAAAGATGAGCTATTCTGACTAGTTACACAGGGCTAATGTCTAGTTTACAGAACTGATGTACCCTGTTTATAATATGAACTCCATACTGGCTTTCTGGTTGCTAGGCTGGAGAGCACCGCCTTCCACTGATGCTGTGAAGGACCTTTTCATGCCTTATCAGCTGTCCAAGACCATTGACAACAGATCTGATGTCTCCATGAAGACATAGTTCCAAAACGTAACTGAAAATTTTAATCATAAAAGGGGCTGAAAGCTGTAACTATACTGACTCAAAACACGGTCAGGCCGCAGCTGGACATGTGAAGAGGTAGAGGCAGTGCTGAGCCGCCTGTGGGCAGCGGACTTCAGCTGCCCTCAACAGGTTAATGACCCAAGCGCCGCCTGGCCCCTGGCTGCCCGCCCCGGGGCTCAGCTTGGCGAGGGCGGCCCCACACAGGGACAGCGGTCCCCCTCCCGCAAGGGGACAGCGCCCTGCCCGGGGCAGTGGGGCCAAGGACCTATGGTCCAAGCGGATCACCCGGCCCTGCGGAGCCTCGGCAACTCAAGGGTCGCTCCTCCGCGGCCAAGACCAGAGTTCTCCCGACCCGTCCCGACCCTGGCCTCTGGGACCCACTCACCAGCTAGCTGAGTGGCGGCCCGCGCAGTCGCCGCCGGGCGGGCAGCTCCGAGCGGGCAGCTCCGGGCTCCGGGGAGGCGGCGGGGCTCACGGCGCGCACGCCGCCTGGGCCCTGTGTCCACACGTGACCCTCGGTCCCGCCCCCTGGCCGGGTCCGCCCCCAGCCGCAGAGCGGCAGGGGGCTGCGCGGGCCTCAGTCCCGCCCTGGCCCTGCCCCTGTCCCCGGTCCTGGACCCCGCCCTGCTGTTGGGCGGGCGCTTGGAGCAGGCGGAGGCGGGGCCGATTCTGTAACTTGAGACCAGCCGTTCGTGCAGTGGGAGGAACAAACCCAGGCTCTTTTCCGAGCGACCTCCTGAGCGGTTTCTCAGTGCTAGGTTGATTTATTTTGTGCTGACTCATGCTACACGCTAATCTGCGGGACTCAGACCCGCCGCCCTCCAAGGGAACTGGTGGGCTGTAATCTAGTCCTTCCAGGTACACCTGTTCCTCTTTCTGCCCGAGAGTTGCTTGCAGTTTCAAAATGCACCCACTACTTCCTGGTTTTAGGAGTTTCTTTGTAAACCCAACTGGTCACAGGAAAACCACTTAGAGGGAAGATGCATCATTTGCAGCCTGATTGATTTTGTAGCTGTTGTAATGATTAAATGTTGGAAAAGTTGAAATAACAAGGTCATTTTACTCTGTTGTAATATTATGGTGAATCAGCACATTTGGGTTCAAGATCTAAGAACTTTTCTTTCTGAAAATTCAAGTGGTTGCAAACTCGATTGTAGATTTGGTATGTGACTAGGGGTTGGGTTGAGTCAGCAGTCATAAGGCTAATACCCAGACTGGCCTTCAGCTTCATGGTGCTGCTTGCCTGTGCTGTCTTGACAGTAAACTACTGACCACCAAATCAGAGAAGGAGGTTGGTTCCCATTAAAGGAGGAGAGCCACATTCTTTGTATATGTCATTTGTAGTCCCCCTCGGCCCAGCCGCAGCCTCTGTCCTACTGTTAGCTTGCTCTTCAGCCAGATACCAGGTCTTTGGAGCGAGGGGGACCCAGCAAAGGGCCACATCTGCTTGAAGGTGCTAGGTGCTGATCTACTTGCCAGTACTAGTCTTGGTTAGCCAACACTGATACTGAGAACTTAAGTTTGTACCAGTTCCTGTTATAGGCCCCCGAACAACCTTTTGAGGCAGATACTTATATATTTCAACAAATCTAAGGTACTATTAATGCTAGATATGCCTGTAGTTTATGGACTATAAAAAGAAAATCTTCCCATTAAATTGTGACATAATTCCTGTTGATTATGTAAATTATAAGAAGCATTCCAATTCTGGGGACATAGAGTAAGAAGGAAAATGTATCTTAACGTTGTTGAAATATGGTTGTTTTTTGTTTGTTTGGGAGAGGTTTTTGCTATAGGGCGCATACACTCACCAGAAAGAGAGAGACAGAAAGTGAGAAATCACCCCCAGGGGGATGGCCATGCCACAGTCCCTTCTCCTCCATTCTCGGGATCTTGGGCACGCACGCCTGGCATGGGTGTAAGCCACTGGGTCCAGGACTTGAACTGTGGTCGACTACGTGGGAGTCCAGCGACATAGCCTTTACGTCACCTGCTGATCCCTGAAACATGGTATTTTTGTACTCTAAATTTTATCAAGAAAACTTGCCCAAGATCGTACAGCAGTAGTGTGAAGGACCAGAGCAGAACCAGAGCTAGTCCATTTTGTCCCACTTCACTGAGGGACGGCACCATTTCACAAAGGCCCAGCCGGACATGTAGAAAAGTTTTGAGACTATCACCCCACTGGGACTGACCAATGAGAGAAACAAAGGCAATACCAGAAACCTAAAGTAACTTTTTGCTTAACTCAAGAGCTTAATAACCAATCAACCAGAGACAACTACACTCCCTATAATTTACAACCAATGGATTGTCGCCTGAGTGCTTTCCTCAGCACTGCTCAACCTCCCCCCCAACAGCCAAATAAAAACCCAGCCCAACTAACACTGGGGCTCTCAACTCTTACCCACTGTGCTGGTAAGATTGGGAGTCCTGGCTCAAGCCTGAATAAAAGCGACCCTTGTGTGTTTACATCGGAATGGCACCCTGGTGGTATTTTGGGAACTTCACGGCCAGGACACTACATTTGGGGACTCGTTTGGATTTCCCCAAGACTCCCAGGATCCCTGAACTGGAGGGTCTACTGATAACAGCTAGTGAGTGTGTCTCCTTTGTCTCTGTGTTTGTCCCGCGCTGTCTCTGAAGGCCCTAACTCTGTAATAGATCGGAAACCGTCTAGGTCTAGCAGGATGCGCTGGCAGGCCGTCGATCTAGGGTCCTAGAAGACATTCTAGGATCCCCAAGAGGGGACAGAATGCCCCTAGTTGTTCTGAAGGTACATAGCGGGTCGCTTCCGCGGCACGGCGTGAAGCCATTGTCCCACTTTAGAGTCGTTCCTCACTCAGTGAAGAACACCTGCGCAGCCACATTTGTCCTGTCTGTTTACCTATCTCTGTTGGTGCATACGTTTTTCTGACGAAAATGGGACAGACTCAGACTTCCCCTCTGACGCTTATGACGAACCATTTCAAGGACGTTAAGACCAGGGCACTACAAGTGCAGTCAGGGTTTGAACTCAGGTGGTCTTTGGCTTTCTAGATCAGGATTTAGGACTTTGAGTTCTCCTAGCTTATCATCTCATTGTATAAAAGGTCTGAGTGCTCAGAATTGCTAATTAGGGTCTGGGCTGGACTATCTGGTACCTGGAATGCCAGGCAAAATGGGGTCTATCCACAGGGCTCGCTATGGCTAAATAGAACTGCTGATTGAGAGCCCTGGAAAGCTAGCTCCATCTAAACCACGTAGGTCTCAGGTCACCACACTGCCTTATCTCCCAAGCAGGCAAGCAGGGTGAAGGGCAAAAAGCCTGCCTATGTATTAGGGAGATCTCCAAAGGGAGTCTACTCTCCAGTTGAGCTAAGATAAGCATTTACAGCTGAGGATGTAAATATAACTCCAGAAGGCTGCAGCTGTATACCTTGCTGCCCCTTAATGTTCAGGCCACAGCCTGTGTAGACTCAGTGTACTGAAGGGACACTGACAGAGGTGAGGGAGGTATATGAAGCTGTACCTCCCTCTTGGGTTTCCAGCTGCATGCTAGTCTAGTGTGCATGTATGGAAATCACAGTCATTTGGCCCCAGCGTTGTTGGTGAGAGCCCTTACCACATTCTTGAGATTCGGAAAGTCTCCTGGTTATTCCATAGTGGCAGTCGATAAGATCAGCTGCATACCACACCAAGGAGACTAGGGACTGCTGGTCAGGAACTTGAGTGTGGCCCAGCTGGTCAGTCTGTTTGCATCTGGTCTTTTCTCTGGGTCATGAGGTAGAGGGACATGGTTGTGATAGCTATACCAGCTGAAAAGGCAGACCAGGTTTTCCATTGATGATGGCACCTTCTCTTAGGAATTATGCACTTGCAAGGTAACTAATCCTTTGTAACATGTTGCTTAGGGACAGAGAATGTGTTTTAATTAATATACTCTTGTGAGTGTGCTTTATAACATTTTTTCTGGCCTATATGGTTATATTAATATAACTTAAGGTTGCTCGAGGCCCCAGTAAATTGCAGTAGACTTAAATAAGGAAAATGTGAAGGCCTGATTTTTAAAAAACAAGTCCTTTGCTCTGGAAATGCCAGTGAGAACTAGCTGGGAAGCAAGAGGTCTCTGCTCTAGATGCCAGCTAGGCTGCAGTTCTGTGTGGTCATCACCTTTGTGATGCAGGTGTCTTACTCCCCTTCCTGTGCACCCTCTCCAGTCCTCCTTTCCAAATTCCATCCTATATGGCTTTGTACCAGGACCTTTTGTGCCCTCTGCAGAGGCAGGTCTTCCTGTTAAGGACATGAGAAATGCCCAGAGGGGTCTCCAACCATGTAGTCAAGCCTTCTGGCTTGATGATGACACTGAATGGCATTTCTAGTTGGAGGCCGTGAAAGCTGTCTTTGCCATGCAGGTTCGGGTGTATATAGCAGTGCTCAGTCTCAAGGAGTACGGCTACTATAGTCTGAGTGTCTTTTCTCGCCCATCCTCTTAGTCCTGCTCTGAGCTGCGCCATTCTCTTTGTGGGAAAACTGAAGTATGTCAGAGATCAATGACTGTGTCTGGGCATCTACTCTGACCCAATCCCCACTTGCAAGAGCCCGCCAAGCCTGCTGTGCTTCTCCATGGGCGATATCAAGGATAGTAGGAATCAGTGTAGAGTGGGTGGCTGAGACTAAGCTGGGCCATGGGGGCCCAGAGGAGGGGCCCACAAGGCCGGGAAGGAAGTTACTGAACCCAAGCTGGCAAGTCAGGGCTTCAGTGGCCTGGGAACCCTACCCCTCTGTTACCATTTCTGCCACCCCTTTAGCTTGAGGAGGTAGGTGTCCCATACCCCAGCAGTGCTGGCATGGCCTGTGCTTGTGCTCCTTCTGCCTGAAAAATCTAATGCCACTTAGAGAGCAACTAAGGCTAGAAGAGCCAAGGGAAGTGACTGGCAGGTGCTAGAGGTAGAAAGCCATGTGTCTGTCTTTACACTTAGCCTGTCAGTGGCATGCCCTCTTCAGCACCTCCTGGCCTGTAAGTGCCAGAGGGGACTGTCATTCCCCAGCAGGCTAGCATTCTGAGGACTGCCTCACAGGCAGTGAGTGATGTAGTCCTGTAGGGGCAATGAGGGACATAGGTCAAAGAAAGGCTGTCTCCCTCCATGATGACCCAAAGAGTACTGTAGCAAGAATTCCTGCTCTTCACTCAGACCTGGGCCCCTCCAGATCCCACCTGCTGGCTTCTCCTTGCTGCTACACTCCTATCTCTGACTTACAAATCCGCATGGGTTGTATTCACCCATTTGGGCCCTGGCGACCCAACCAAGGGACATAAAGGGAGGTCCAGTATTCATGGGAATGTTAAACTGCATATGCTGATGAGAAACACTCTAGTGTTTGGAGGCTGACAGTAGTCTATACTAAAATGACCCAGGGCCTTGCAGGCCCCACAGCATCACCTGGAGTTAGAAGGATGTGGGCAGGGGGTTTCATGAGCTTCTATAATCTTTGTTTCATAAAAGTGTG